TCCGCCGTCTCCTCCACCATTTCCTCCACCTCGCGCGTTCCCACCCGTTTCTCACGTGGGGTTAGGTTCACGCGCCAGGTTGATTAGGGCCTCCCTCCGCGGCGGCCCGCCGCGCGCTATCACGCACGTTTCCCGCCATCCAATGTCCGCGCACGATGATTTTCACTGACTATGCCCGCGACCTCGCAGCCACGTGCTCGACTCTTGCGACGCCGCGCGGCCGCGCGCGCCCGCCGCGAAAACAAAGAGGGCCGATGCGCCCGCGAAAGCGGGCTAGTCGCATGCTAAGGGACCGCTCGTCGGATGCTGGAGCTGACGGATGCGACAGCCGGTGTAACGAGCGACATGTACGCGCGACATATGTAACACGCGACTCGACTCGCCGCGATTTCTTTGCCTATGTGCGTTCGCACGCAAAAGCACGCGGACTCGGGCCGCGTGCACAGCGACGAGCGATAAGCCCACAGCTCGTAATGGAGCGGACGACTTCGCTTCAAACTCTGTCTTGATAACGTGTTTTATCGACACCCGCGATTTACAACATTACAATGTCAATCTTTCTTGTATTCTATTTTATAAAGGGCATCTTATTGTATAAATGCAATCTGAGTCTTGTCATTTTCTAATTTTGACCAGGTCAAAAGTACTTAAAAAATCGGAAAAGATTTTAAAAACCGACTGACGACTGAATACTCAATGTTGGCGGAAGAAGGGCCTAAAAGATGTTCTTACGTAAGCCTCGTAAAAGAAAGATTCGAGGCGTCGATGATATTTCCGAGCTAGTCGAGCGTCTACTCCCGCAATGTTGTGAGAAGCATAGAGATTCACGAGCGAGTCGACGATACTTTACAATGCATCGTTGTACTGACCCGATTACAATTTATCGCCTGCTGTAATGCGCCGCGAGATAACCGCTCGAACCGAATGAACTATAAGCTGTAAGATCGCGAGGGATTGAATCGCGCCACGCTGTGAATTTCTAGAAATGACTCCGGCGCGAATGCGCGCCGCGTCAATTGCATCGTTCACTTAAATTTTATCCTAGAATCTCGCGAAGAGAGAATATCATTCGCGTACTTTCGCGTTGCCGCAGGACTCATTTCGCAGAGACGGATAAAAAGATCATTGAAAAAAGTTTTCTTGTTATAATTTTTTTTTTCTCGATACTGTATTTCGCGTATAATGTATGTATCGCCGAATTCTTATTTATATAACAAAGCAAAATATACATACGCACATTAAATTTTATTTTTAGTTATTCTTCAAAAGCACGCGCCTAGTTTGCTCTCCGGAGGAGCCCGAAAGAGTGCGGATCCATTCGGTGGGAAAACAGGAGGGAAAAAGATCCTGTCGCAAAGCGCAAGGATCCTTATCGCCAAGTTCTCGGCCACGAACGAAGAACGGATTTAACGATCGTTTTGCGCGACAAGAGCGGCAAGGCGCGGAAAGAGAGCCGCGGGAGAGGAATGCCGCGCCGGCGAGAAGTCGGGTCTCTCTCTCTCTCTCTCCCGGCGTGTATAGTAGTAGCTTCGTCCCAAAAGCGAACGACGAGCGAGAAGCGAGAAGAGCAAAAGTACGCGTTAGGGCTGGTGCAGCCGCGCGGTCCGCGGCCGCCTATATTTATCCGACGATGCAATATTTGGCCGTGTCTTCGAGAAGGAGGGTGCGAAAGGAGAAAAGAGGAGAGAGAGAGAGAG